CTTACCAAAAGAGTTATGGTGTGGTTTGTCATAGGCCAATTTAGGTTTATCTACTACGCTTTAAGTCAGAATAATTTAAAGAGAAATTGGTTAAGATATTCTGGGGGATAAGGTAAAAGACTACAGAACTAATCCTGATGCAACAGAGGAGAAATGAGTATCCTCCTTTGGGCAGGAGAAAACATGTAAATATAAAGCTTGAATGAAAGATCTCAAATGCTAACCTCTACTGTGACTATTTGGGAAATCTTAACATGTTTCTTGGTTTAAGAAAAAAAAAAAACTCTTTCATCACTTTAAACACCACTCAGCCCACAATTTAAATCAGGAACAACAACTATAAATAGAGTATTTTTAGAATGGTCTGGATCTAGATCCCAGTTGCTACCATAACATTCCTGATGACAGAGTTAAAGTGAGGAAAAAAGGAAAAGTATGTAATTAAATATGGAATGTAACATCAACAATGTGTATTTTCTAATGTTGGTGTTTTAAAATCATCTATCTTTTTTCCCCATAAAACAAAATAAGAGACAGAAAGAAAAAGGGGGTAAGAGGAGAAGAAAGGGAGAGACTGCGGAAGAGAGAGAAACAGATTTTATGGGACATTAAAAGGACAAAGTAGATGAAGTGTACTCAAATAAATCTCATATGAAATACCTAAATATTAGCATTAGTCAATCTATAAAGACTAAAGTATTCACAGCATAGTAATCATAACAAAAAATTAATTTAAATTATGTGGTCTGATCCAAATAAGATTCCAAGATTCTACCTTACCTTGAAATAAGCATGGTTTGGTCCTACATTGTGAAGAATGGCTTTCCTCCAAGTTGTTAACCCTTGAGGGCTATTACTGAAGAATAAGCTTGGTTCTAAAAATCTGACCTCGGTATGACCAAGCTAATAACAAGAGGAAGAAAGAGAAAATAAAATTGGATTAACAGTAAACACGTTTTTATCCTCTACCAGATAACTCAGATTTTTTCAGCTTCACAGAAATTTCTAAAATACAAAGTGTTATCAGAGTTTATGTGTGCTTAAGAGAAAGGAAAAGAGAATAGAATATTTAAAATGTCCTTCTCAACTGAAGAAGGCAGGGGTAGTAAGAGAACTCTAAGGACCAAGTAGAACCAGGACTGAGAATTATGGAGATTAATCACTGAAGGGGATGTGAGAGATCACCTGCCCCACTACATACAGCATGTTACTAAATGTTAACGCAAAAGGAAAAAGTTCAAAGGTCACAGAAGTATGGGAAATCAGGTGCCAAAAGAGATTATCCAGGCATGTATCTACCAAAAGTCTTCTTATAGGGCTTAATATGCTGATAATGTACACTCTGCTCATCTGAGAATGGGGAGGTCATTCACTGGGACTCACTGAGTTACCTCGCCACAGGACTCTCTCACCTTGTCCTACACAAATCAGTTCACAGAAAACTTTTTGGAAATGTTGGTATTATCCACCTCTCCCATTTTACAGGAAAGCAAACAGTAACCACGGGGAACTAGAACCCAAGATTTCTAACTCCTCATTCAGTGCTCGTTAGAACAGACCCTATTGCCTTTATCTAATACACATTATTTCTTATTGTATTAGGAGATTTTACTACATTCTTATAATTACTTGAAGAATATGATTGGAGTAATCGGAACAATAAACTTTCAAAAAAGGCTAACAGGAGATGAAATGGTCCAGTAAGTCCTTCACATCTAATGACAAACCTTAAATGAACATTTTATTGAATCATTTCATGTTCCTCCATCTTTACTTTCTTAAGCATAACACTTCACAGTTCACCTAACTTGTAATGACCTTGGAAGGGACACTTAGTGACTGGAAGTGTGGCGTAGCAGGGAGTTTCTGTTGTGATGCTAGTCATGTTCTGTTTCTTGATCTGGTTTATCTGGGTGTGAGTTACAAAGGCGTTACCAGTTTACAAAGATTAACTGAGTGATACATACTTTATAATATGTGCACCTTTCTGTATATATACTATACTTCAACAGAAAGTTTAAAAAAGAATAGGAAGTGATTTAAACACAGTGAAAGCACTAGGACCCAGCTTATTTCAAGCCTGGAGCAGAGGAAAGACACTACTAATTTCTGACTGCCACTAGCCATCATTAAACTGGATGAATCTCTTACACCTTAAGGATATAAGTGCCTTCATAGCTGAAATACGTAAGAATGTGATCATGGCCTGGAGACAGAAATGGGATTTAGTAAAAGAGTATTGGGTTGTGCTAAACTACTAAGAACACTGGGAGGAGAATTTGGCACACGAGTAAAATGGATCCTTGGTGATTAAGAGTCATGAAGTTAAGGCCTTCTGGGCTCTACCACAGAAAGAAAGTTAACATTACATATTGCAGCCTTCATTTTACTTACATTTTTATTACAAGAAGTATATTCTATAAGAATTTTCCATATTTTCTTGCTATGTGAATCACATGATCCATTTCATACTGAATTATTAATTATAACTAGAATACTAAATAGGTAGTAGAGCAAAACTATAATTTTCTCTATTTTCCTTTGGCATTTATTAATGACATAAGTTAATTTCAAGTGGCTCCCATGGTGGTATATATTTATAAAAGTTCTAATAACACTCTAGTATTGTTGGCACAAGAGCTTTGGATTTCTGAGTTAATTTTAAATAACCCATTTTTTAGCAAAGTCTTCATTTATGGAAGAGAAGTGGCTGCAAGAAGATGCTAAAATAATTTAGTTAACTAAGTACTGCATGCAAAATCAGTTTTTAGTAACATACTATATATACCCAACTATATACACATATGTATACCCAACCAATTTAGAGCCCACAAAACAGAAATCGTATTTAAGTGAAATCATTACACGTGCAAAACATTTCAGTGTCAGCGTGTTTCCTTCATCGATGTGAAGAAGAAACTCTCCCTTCTCTGGCGAATCAAAATCCGGTTGCCATGTTACTTCACACTCCAGTGAAGAATGTGGTTCAACAGTGCCTACAGAGGATTCAGAGAGAATGAGAAATTTACCACATATTAATCACATTTATTTTTTTAATATCCAAAATAAGAGCTGGCATAAAAATGTGCTAACCTTATATAACAGATTATTTAAACTCAAAATATAGAAAAACACTAAATGAGAGGTTAACAATTGAGTATAAACCCAGAAAATTTGATTAAAATCTAAAATTATACCTTATCTTTTCAATTTTAATAGGCAGATAAAATAGTC